GTTAGATTTGGCCAACGGGGGGCACTGGCATTCGACTCAAAGGCAGGAGGCGGAAATTCAGGGTGTTTCTCCTCCACCCCCTCTACCTGCTTCAGACGGCATCTCCAGAAAGAGCTGCACCTCCTGCAGGGCACCGGCACCCGCCGGGTTCTGGCGATACCACCTCGCTCCTGGTCCTTCCAGCCCTAAGAGTGGGAGCGGCCCCCTCCTGATGCTAATCTTGGCTTCGCCTCACCAGCCTGTCTGCCTTGATTTCCCCAATCCTAACAGCTTTATAATTAGTTCCTCAGATTATTTTACCTCTTTTGAACTCTGGGGCAGGAGCTCTGTTTTCTGATGACATCCTCACTGGCACGAATTATATTAAAGGAAAGGAGTTATGGCTCGGATGAGAAGGGTCAGAGGGGTGAGAGGCAGAGATCACGACCGGCCCCCCCCCCCAATCCCGACAGCCACAGCACCTTGCCAGCTGTTGCCAACTTAGAGCTTTCTCATCTTGTATGAACAAAGAAGAATCTTGCCCTGGAGGGAAACTTGAGGAAAACTGCAAACCTGTCCAGGATAGACTATTCCAGAAAAGATTCCAACTAATCCAGGAGAAAAATAAATACATAAATAAAACCAGCCTATTCTCTTATTAGACGTTCCAGCTCCATATTCTTCCTCGGAAACACAATATATCTCTGCGTTTATCGTCCCCAATGCTCCCTACTGTCTGTTGAAGCTTTTACTGGAAACTGAGCTAACTACTCACTGGTGTCCTTGGTGGAAATACAGCGTCAGCCCACCAAAGCTTACACAAAACCACTAAAGAAAATGTAGGGTCGCCGGTTGTCTTGCACCCTTCTTTCCAACAAATACCACGTTCCTTCCTGCCTTTGGAATAAGGAAGAGAACCAACCCATGATTCTTCACGGGTGTCTGAGGATCTGTTGAGGGGCAAACACTCTAAAGGCAGAGGAGCACAGAGATCATGAGCATCGTTCTTGAGTCAGACCGTCTGGCCACGTACAAGCACTGAGCAAGTTCCTTCTTTCCAGATACATAAGCCTCAGTTTCCTCACAGAGAAAATTGGAATAATAATGGTTTTGAGACTTAAATGAAATAAAACCTGTAAAGACCCACACAGAGTGAGCACTCCATAAATATTACTTCTAACCTCACTATTTTACTATCCTCTCTGTGCCCACACCCTTGAAAATCGTAACAGTAGATATTAAAATGGCCAAATTACCACCACCTAAAATAAGTAAGAGACTGCCTGTCCCCCAAAGTTATGGGCTAACGACCAACATGATTCTTTCACATCAGCAAAGAAAAGTACCGACTCTCAGAACTGCAGCGGGTACAATCCAATCTCCCACGTGACAGCTGAAACGGGAGAGACCTGAGATGGGCTTGGCCACCTGGTGATATGACGTGAATTCTCCTTAGGGGAGCCTTACAGAGAGAGTTAAAGAGCGAGAGGTCGCAGCTAGCTAACATCCTGATTAATGGCGAAAGGCTAAGATCAAGAACAAGACAAGGAAGTCAATTCTCATCACTTCTATTCAACACTGTACAAGAGATTCTAGTCAGGGCAACCGGGAAGAAAAGGGGGAAGGGGCGGAGGACGGAGAGAGAGAGAGAAAAATGCAACCAGGCTGGGAAACGAAGAAGTGAAACTCTCTCTCTTCAAGATGACATGATCTTATAAATAGAAAAAACCCTGAAGAATCCACTAAAGACTATCAAAATTAATGAATGAGTTCAGCAAAGTTGTGGGATATAAAGTCAATACGCAAAAATCAACTATATTTCTATACACTAGCAATGAACAATCCAAAAGTGGAATGAAGAAAACAATTATATTTGCAATCCCACGGAAAAGAATAAAACAATTATGAACAAATTTAACGAAAGATGTGCAAGACCCGTACTCTGAAGCTATACAACATTTTTGAAAGAAATTAAAGAAGATCTAAAGAAATGGAAAGGTATAACCTGTTCATAGATTAGAAGACTTACCACCGTTACGAAGGTGCTACTGCCTGAATTAATCCACAGATTCAGCTCAATCCCTATCAACAATTCCATCTTGCTTTGTTTGCAGAAATTGACAAGCTGGTCATAAAATTCACATGGAAATGCGAGACACCCAGAATTGTCAAAACAATTTTGGAAAAGAAGCACAAATTCAGTCACATTCCAGTTTCAAAACTTACTACACAGGTGCAGTAATTAATCAAGACAATGTGGTCTTGGCCAGACATATAGATTAATGGAATAGAATTGAGTGCCCAGAAATGAACTCTTACATTTATGGTGAACTGATTTTTGATGAGGCTGACAAGATAATTCAATGGAGAAAATAATCTTTTCAACAAATGGGGCTGGAAAAACTAAATATTCATGCAAAAGATGAATTTGGACCCCTTACTTATATCATACACAAAAATTAACTCAAAATGGATCACAGGGGGCTCCCCTGGTGGCGCAGTGGTTGGGAGTCCGCCTGCCGATGCAAGGGACGCGGGTTCGTGCCCCGGTCCGGGAGGACCCCGCATGCCGCGGAGCGGCTGGGCCCGTGAGCCTGCGCGTCCGGAGCCTGTTCTCCGCAGTGGGAGAGGCCGTGACAGTGAGAGGCCCGCGTTCCGCAGAAAAACATAAAAAAATAAGTAAATAAAAAAAAATAAAATGAACTTGATATCTTTAAAAAAATTTTTTTCAGAAGCAATGGGCCTTGGGGATGAGGTGGAGCTGCGTATGACCCCTGGCTCTCCCACCACTAGCTATGTGGTCTTTGGTAATATTCTCTACCATCTGGGCCTGGATAAATGGTAACTTTTATCATTCAAGAGGAAGGAATATAAAGAGGGATGGGACATGAAGCCTCAGGGTTACAAAGAGGCAGAACCAAAGTGAGCCTCTGGGATGAAAGAAGCACACCCAACACTATCATCTAGACTTTGCTTCTTGGTCCTTGTCTGTTTCCCAGAAGAATGTGCCTTTCCTAAATATCCCACCCTAGGGCCCCGTTTTGCCATGGGCGTTGACCTCAACTCTTCCAATAGGCAAGAGAAGCATCCCTCCCATCAGACAGCAACGTGTGCTCCTCCCTTCATCTCCCACCCTTGGCTAGATTTACAGCAAGAACAGAAGCATTTCCAGTATTAACAGAATGGAGGGAACACAAGAAGGATGCTGACAATCAAATTCCAGGCCATTTTTATCTTGCGCTGCTCATTTGGGAAGGTCATTTTCCCCCCAATGCCTGTAAGGCATTAGATGCTTTGAGCTTTACATTCTCAACAGTGTAATGAAAATAGATGTTGAATGCTAACACATAAACATACGTATCATTCATAATGCATTCAGATGTTTTTCAATTACTCATGGTCCCTGAAAGTTATGTGACCTATGGTGCGTATAATATATCCAAGCAGTGTTTATATCAGAACCACAGCCTCAGTGTACGCAATTCCAGCTCCTC